GAGAGAGAGAGAGAGAGAGAGAGAGAGATATTAGTTTTCGGCCAACATCTTTGTTTTATTTGTATGTGGTGCTGAGGATCGAACCCTCCTTCAGCCGCACGCATGCCAGGCGAGCGCGCTACCTCTTGAGCCAGCCCCTGTATTTCAGTTTTACATCTAGAACATAAAAACTAGCCTGTAGGTCGCTGGGAAGCTTAGAAAGTGTGAATAGGAAACAACATTTTGTTTAAAGGCATTTTTCTGATCAATGGTCTGATCTTGCATAACCTAGCGGGACTTTTGTGTATTCAATTCTGAGTTCAATGTGATGTCTAAAAACCATGTAAAAATATGTATGTAATATATGATATGTAATAGATGATACATTTTAACCTTTAAAGCTATTTCTTTAAACCCAATGCCATTTAGATTCATTTTAAAAGCAAAATGTTTGCAATTTTTTCCTTCTATGTATTTTTACCAATATCACTTAAGATTTAAAAAACAAAAAAACCAAAAAACTGTTAACCGAAGAGTAAAATAGTTGTTACTATTTCTAGCCCATTTTAAAAATGTAAATGATGATTGAATAGGTTGCTAAATTGTGAGTCACTTTAGAGAGTTTGTAACCTAGTTTGAGCCTCCTGGACTCATGCTCCAGTAAGCAAACCACCCAACTAATGTGCTGAGACAGTTGTTGGCTCTCAGTTTCTTGGCTTCTTGTCCACTCAGCAATCTGTCAGTTGTATATCCTTTCTACACCACCCCTTAGAAACTTGTCCTGACGAAGCTTTTGTCAGTCTCCAACAAGTTGAAACAAAAGCCACATTTAGTCAGAGTATTTAGAACCAGTGAGCAAATTACTAATATCAGTATCTGTTCTAAGAAAGGCTGTTCCATTCTTTTTCAGAGCTTTGGTCCCTGTATCCTTTTACTAGTGTGTATTTTGGGAAAGTGATGAAGTAGAAGTACACTGCTCACATCATGTTAGAGCTGATGGAACCCTACACTTGGAGTAGGCAGCTGTAGGTGAAATTCCATCTGAAAAGAATCTTGATGAAGCATTTCCAGCTAGGAGTTAATAGCTATTATATTTTGGTAGAAGTTGTTTCATTACATTCATTTAAACCATTTCCTGAATTTGAATGCTAAAATCTTATTCATGACCTAGGGTTAACACAGAGATTTGAGTTAGCATCTAGAAAGGCAAAATTTTAGTCCAATATTTTTCCATTAGGAGAAGTATTACTCAGCTCATATCTCCCAGGGAGGGTTAAAGAAGATTGAGTTGAAAATACATAAAATGCAAAACACCACTACATGTTTACTGACTTATGGTACATAAGAATTGTATAGATCAAATTTAGGACCTGGAGAGAGATGGACTTCCTCTTCTATCTGTAAGTTTTTTTAATTTATTTTTTAAAATATTTATTTTTTAGTTGTAGTTGGACCCAATACCTTTATTTATTTATTTTTATGTGGTGCTGAGGATCAAACCCAGCATCTCACACATGCTAGGCGAGCATTCTACCGCTGATCCACAACCCCAGCCCCTCTATCTATAAATTTCTATTAAAGAAAAAAAAAAAAAATCAAAGGCAATAGCAAAATGTTAACATTTGTTAAATTTGTTTAACACTTGTTAAACACATAAAATCTATTTTGTGTGATTTTTCTATAAAATATAAATATTTAGTTATCTAGATGTAAAAGTCTCAATAGAGAACATCTTACATATATGAAGGTGGAGAATTTTTATTCTATATATCCCTTTTGTAGAAGTAAAGTCTGGAAGCCAAATGATTTTATCTATTTTTGGTTATTTTGGGGGGAAGCTTGTGTGTGTGTGTACTGCTGGTGATGGAACCCACAGCCTTATGAATGCTAGGAAAAAGCTCTACCACTGAGCTGTATCTTCAACCCTAGAGGAAACATTTTGATCACAGTGAAATGGAAATATATGTTAAGATGCTATAGCAGCAGCTGCAACATACAGAGCCTTGTTTATGAAAACTTGGAAGCACAGCTATCATTCACAGCATAACTCAAATGAAATCTCTATTTGTCAAATGGTGGTGATAAGAGTAGATTATTTTATTGTTGTGTTCAGGCTATCAAGTCACTGTGTGGTCAGATGGCTGTGAATTGTAGGTGCTATATATATATATATATTATTTTTTATGTCTAGATGGACACAACATAATGCCTTTATTTTTATGTGGTGCTGAGGATCGAACCCGGGTCCTGCTCATGCTAGGCGAGCGCTGTACCGCTGAGCCACAATCCCAGCCCTGTAGGGGCATTTAAAAAAAAAAATTCTTATTTTTTTAGTTGTCAATGGATTTTTATTTTATTCATTTATTTATATGCGGTATTGAGAATCTAATCCAGTGCTCACAGATACTAGGCAAGTGCTGTACCACTGAGCCACAACCCCAGCTCCTGTAGGTGCATTTTAACTTGAAATCAGACTAATATCCACTGAACCTTAAAAACTGCTATTTAAGTTGGGCCTGGGAGTGTGTGCCTGTAATCTCAGCTACTTGGGAGGCTGAGGCAGAAGAATGGCAACTTCAAGGCCAGCTTGGGTAACTTAGTGAGATACTGTCGGGGGGGGGGCGGGGAAGAAAGAAGAAAGAAGCGTTAGGGCACTTACCTAGAATGCAGAAGCCCCTGATCCCAAGAACCCTAGTATTGGAGGAGGAGAGAAAGCTATTTAAACTGGGTTTGGAGGCGCATCCCTGTTATCCCAGTGGCTGGGAGGGCTGAGGCAGGAGGATCGTTCAAAACCAGCCTCAGCAATGTAGTAAGGGCCTAAACAATTTAGCCAGACTCTATCTCTAAATAAAAATATAAAAAAAGGGGCTGGGGTCATGGCTCAGTGATAGAGCGCTCGCCTAGCAAGTGCGAGGCCCTGGGTTCAATCCTCATCACCACATATAAATTAAAGGTATTGTGTCCAAAAACAAAAAATTAAACATTAAAAAAATTTTATATATATATATATATATATATATATATATATGGATGTGGCTCAGGGGTTAAGGGTCCCTGGGTTCAATTCTCAGTACCAACAAAACAAAAACTATTTGTTACTAGCCAAAAAGAATTAACATTTGCCAAGCTATTATTGCTGGCTTATTTAAGTAGGTATTCAGTTTCTGGTGGAAACCACTGTGTTTCAAAGACCAGAAATGTGCTTCCCCTGAGGAGAAAAATAGAATATTATATATAGAAAAAAATTTAAAAATCTATAGCAAATAATATTGCTGTAGGGATTTTTGAATGAGGCCAGAGATTTGGAAACTCAAGTTAATGACTAAATGAAAAACAAAAAAAAGACGCTTTTTCTATTTTTTAATAGTTCAGATTGTTGAAAGTCCACTGGAGGGAGTGAACTTTTCATTATTACTAAATAACAATTGATTTTTATAAATTAAACTTAATTTTATATGTTATTTTAAAAAAAGGTTAAGGTTAAGCAGGGCATGGTGTGTAAACCTGTAATCCCAGTGATGTGAGAGGCTGAAGCAGGAAGATTGAAAGTTGGAGGCCACATTTGGCAATTTAGTGAAACCCTGTCTCAAAATAAAAAATGAAAATAAGCTCAGTGGTAATTGTGAAGTGCCCCTATATTTAATACCCTGCCCTCCCCCCAAAAAAGTCTAAAAATCTGGCTACTTTTCAAATTCCTGTAGATATGATTTCCTCAAACTTTTGAAGAGAGATTACCGAATTCAAGGAATTTCCAGGATTTAACTGCTAAAACCTTACTTATGAAAAGAGAGCAACCAACACAGTGGGCAACCAACACCTAAATTTTAGTCTCAAGATTTTTCCACTGGGAAACGTCTTAACTCACACTTTCCAGAGAAGGGTAAAGAAGAGCAATTTGAAAACTGTTAAGTATTTGTGTAAACAAATTTAAAAGGGTAAACCCACTGCACATCTTGTTTAATGACTCATAATGCAAAGAACGCTAGAGATCGAATTCAGGATGTGGAGAGATAATCAAGGGCAAAATGGCTCTTGAAAATTTTTAGAGCATCAGTGGAATGCCGCTTTTAAAAAGCTCCACTTTTTTTTTTATTTTTATTTTTTTTGTTAACGAAATGTCTCATATGCGGAAGGGGTCTTGTTAGAGTCTAGACTGACCTTGCCTACTGGAGCAGTTGCCTCTAGTAGTCTTGCTAGTCTTGTCTTGCTAGTCTGAAGTCTTGTCTTCAATGTCTAAAGTTTGATGATTTGTGATGATGGGCAAGTCAATAGTCACAATATTAAACAGGA